TTGACCCGAAAGAAATTGACCGAGTGCATCGCCTCGGCCGCCACACCAATGATCGTTGCCGCCCGATAATTGTCAGGTTCGCATTCTACAAAACCAAAGAAAACACCCTCTCAAATGCCAAAAAATTGAAAGGAACAAATTTCAGCATTGGCGAAGATTATTCCCTCTCAGTTCGTACTGCCCGCCGTCATCTCGTTGCTTTCGCTAAGCAGAAATCGGGTAAATTTCAGATCCGTTTCAAAACTTTGTATATGGGTTCCAAACAGTACATTTTTGACCACGGATCACAATCGGTTATAGAAGTCGCATAGCGATCACCGCGCCCACAGAATAAACCACACCACCGCCAAATCCAAACACGTCGTGAACTTTCTTTTTCTGTTATCTTTACTAATGTTCGTAGTCTCATGCCGAAGTGCCAACTCGTGTCAAACGTTGTGGCGTCTTCCAACAGTAATATTTTGGTACTAACAGAAACGTGGCTAACCGATGAAGTTACTGACGCCGAAGTGCTTTCGGATTTACCCGATTATCAGTTATTCCGCACCGACCGCAAACGCGGCCGGGGCGGGGGTGTGCTAATCGCTGTTGGCCCAGAACTACCCTGTTCTGCTGTTAACATAAAATCTGCCTTTGAAATTCTGTGGCTAATTTGCCACGCTTCCCCTCAAACATTCCTACTCGGGGTGTGCTACAGGCCACCGAGCACCAATACAGGTTTTTCACGTGATTTAAACAATATAATAAGCACACTCACGACCACCTACCCTAACGCTCACATTTTACTTTTTGGGGACTTTAATTTCCCGAAAATTGATTGGCATAACCCTGCACCCTCGTCGGCATACGATGTCGAAACGAAAGATTTCATAGACGTTTGTTTGAATTTTAACTTATCTCAACTTGTGTCAGAGCCCACGCGCATATCAGGCGGCTGTGCTAACATCCTAGATTTAATACTAACCGACCGCCCAGATTCTTTATCGTCCATTTCATACCTACCCGAAATTAGTGACCACAAAGTAATACATGCAGTTTTTTCCTTCCCTCTTAAGCGGCGCGACAAACTCAAGAAAACAATTACCTTATACGATAAAGGTAATTATGAGGCCATTAACAAAGAACTCAAACACTTCTTTCCAGACTTCGAACATAGCTTTCACTCCCAATCTGTGAGCAATAATTGGGATATTTTTAAAAATAAGATGAATAAATTAATTAGCAAATTTATCCCCACAACATCATTCCGTAGCACGCCGCAGAAACCCTGGTTTACAAACAAACTAAAGAAACTAGCGAATAGAAAAAAGCGCCTTTTTCGCGCAGCAAAAGCAAACGAGACGCCTATAGCTTGGGCGAAATACAACGCAGCCGAAAAAGAATATACTACCGCTATTAGTAACGCAAAATATACGTTTTTGAACCAGGATTTACCAGGCATGCTAACAGATAACACACGTAAATTCTGGCAGATAGTGAACCCTCGGCCTACCAGCACCATCCACCTTACTAATGATTCTGGTCACATACTCTCAGATGATCAATGTGCTGATGCTTTTAACAGCGCATTTTCATCTGTGTTTACTAACGAATCTAGCGTACCTTCCTCTCCTGCCCCGGTGCTGTTGACATCCTCTATGGGCTCAATTGTTTTTTGCGCAGGTGGTATTTCAAGCATTATTCAAAACATGAAACTGTCCTCATCAGGTGGCGTCGACAATATTAACTCAAAAGTGTTAAAAAACATCCATAACACCATCGCCCCATTTCTGTGCTTGATGTATGCGCAGTCGCTCTCCACAGGCCTTCTTCCAGATGACTGGAACATGGGCAAGGTCGTTCCCATCTACAAATCAGGTGATAAGAACTGTCCATTGAACTACCGTCCCATTTCTTTAACAAGCGTCCCATGCAAAATCATGGAACATGTCATCTACTCTCAGATTGTAAACTTTTTAGATTCCAATAACTTTTTTCACCCCAGCCAGCATGGTTTTAGGAAAGGATTCTCCTGCGAAACACAACTAGCAATATTTCTTCACGTTCTGCATGCTAACCTTGACAACAACTTACAAACTGACGCAATCTTTCTAGATTACGCAAAGGCATTCGACACAGTACCCCACCAAAGACTAATGCTAAAGCTATCTCAGTTAAACTTAGACCCAAGTGTACTAAATTGGATCAAAGCATTTCTAACTAACCGTTCTCAGTTTGTGCATGTCAATAGTAAATCTTCTGCTTACCTCAAAGTAACATCAGGCGTACCTCAAGGTTCAGTTCTTGGCCCCCTCCTGTTTCTGATATACATAAACGACTTACCCCTCAGCGTATCCTGCAAAATCCGCATGTTTGCAGATGACTGTGTAATCTATCGGACAGTAACTAACACTCACGACCAAAATCTTCTCCAGAACGATCTTAACCACATTCAAGATTGGTGCGATAATTGGCTTTTGTTTCTTAACCCTAACAAATGCAAACTTGTTACGTTTACCCGCCGTAAGAATCCTTTCATTTTTTCATATCATATCGCCAACGTCCCTGTACAATCACAACCATCCTACAAGTATCTAGGTGTCACATTGTATTGCGATCTCACTTGGAATGCGCATATTACTAACGTCATTTCATCGGCAAATAAAACTCTGGGCTTCTTGAAGCGTCACCTACGTCATGCACCAAAACATGTGAAGTTGCTAGCATATCAGTCCCTCGTCAGATCGAAACTCGAATATGCCTCCCCCATATGGAACCCGCCCCAAACATACCTCATTAACGACCTCGAATCTGTTCAAAATCGCGCCGCTAGATTCATTCACTCCCAGTACTCATACGACATCAGTATTTCATCCTTGAAAGCACAATCCGGTTTATCACCCCTCTCTGTTCGCCGCCGTATCGCCACCCTTTCTCTCTTTCATAAATTTTTTCATTCTTCTCTCAATGCAGCTCCTTACATCATCCCCCCGACATACATCTCACACCGCACAAGCCATCCACTTCAAGTGTCCCGTTATCGTAACAGAACTGCCGCTTTTTCCGCTTCTTTTTTTCCGCGCGCCGTCAAGGATTGGAACGACCTTCCCTGCTCCATTGCTTCAACCACCTGCCCATCATCCTTCGCGACAAATCTTACAAATCACCTATGCTGCGAAAACTAACGTGTTCAAATGTTCTCTTTTCCTGTGTATCCACCCCTTATGTAATACCCCCGAGTGGGGTCCTTAAGGAAATAAAAATGAAAATGGAATGAAATGGAAATGAAATAAACGCTGTAGCGGCAAAAGTAGCAATGCCATTGGCTGCGTCACTTTCGTTGACATGGCACACATAACATCACACAGACAATTCTGGCAAGTGAGGTGAGCTTTTCGCGGCAATTTTCGAAATTCTTTGCAAAATATCAACGCATTACTCAAACCTGTGATTTGGCATAAAGGACTAAAATGTGCAGAAGAACACACCAGCGAATTTCATTGACATTCATTGACCTTGAACAATTGCCGGAGTTGGCCTTCAACACATGTTATATTGCGTGGTAGAAGACTAGAGTCGCGCCAGGCGTCGGAAGAAGTGTGTTTAGCAACGAGTTTGTGCTTAGTCAACCCATTGCAAAGCACTGCGACAGATCTAATCACAATCAGTAACAGAATCACCAACAACGGGAACAGCTTCGCACAGCAACGCGTGTTGCCCAACAGACGTGTCATAGTGGCCACTTGGATGATTTGGCACATTTGTAAATGTTGTATAGTGGGAACTTGAGAAGTTTGCCTTGATTAGGCATTGCATGACGCTTTGAAACGACGAATATTACGCGCATGGTCATTGCTTTCCTCGTGGAACGGTTGAGGTACGCCCCGTGAAACGAAACACGCTAGCAGTTCAGATTGCGTGGCGCACAAGGCTCGATTACTCTATCGGGATCTTCTTTGCAAGATGACGGTCGAGCTTTCTGAAATTTTACGTGCACATAATATCCTAATATACCCTTTTGGTGTTCCTACGTAATGCCACGTGTTGTCTGTCGACCAACTTCACTTCTGTGAGCAGCGCTCAGATATAACGGGTACGTTCGCTTATACTGAATGATGCCATGTCTATGATACTTTATATGCACTCTGCATCGCGTATTACGCAACAAGCGATAGCCTCTACCTCCACATTCTATTACATTGTTATAATTTCGTTGGGCAACTGTGTAGCGTACTTCACAGTGAAATTCGTTTGTACATGTGCTCAGCTAAAGGGTCTGCTCTTGATCAAAACAGCTGCTATTTATTGTCCAACAGCGACAGACTGCACGACGGGAATGTCGAATGAAGCGATTCCTTGAAATTATGTCACTTCCTTTGTTGCTAAAAGTGTGGCGAAGTCAGTTTTTAGTAACAGCTTGGTGGAGATCCAGAGCTCTGCCGCATGTTTGCACTTGTGCCGCCTACGTTATGTAAGGACCTTGTAAAGCTTATGCGCAACTTTTTCTCTCTTTCACTCCAAGGAACAAAGTCACTGATAAGCGCTTCCATTTTGATATTCTCTAGCGGTTGAACAAACTTCTTCTTCCCCAGTAGCTGGACAGGAAAGCTAAACGTACGCGTTGCGCTTTGCGTCCACAGCCAACGGCTACATCTCTGTGGAACGAGATAATGAGACGAGGTCTGACTGTGTACGCGATACAATCCGCACTATGGCACGTCCGAATTTTCCCTTTCCGCTTGTGCAGCGTATGCTCCACTGCGGGCCTGCACCAACGCCCTGCATAAGGAGAAAAAATGGCACTGAAAACGTGCCGCTTGCGTTTGTTTCTTTTAGCTTTTAAATTGCAGGTGAGAGGAAGACGGGTGATATGATACCACCGACCGAGAGTGTTCCGAATACGTGACTCTCGCTAATACGACACCGTGCCTTCCCTCATTCGGTGTGGAGTATTTAAGGAGTACGCAAAGACACGTGGACCCATCAGCACCTGAGCAGCAGTCGCCGAAGTCCCAGCCACCATGAACACACTGGTGAGTTGTTCAAGACCGTCGTGCGTTCGTTACACGTGCACATCAAACAATCCGGCATGGAGCTGTTAGGGCACGTCACAGGCCTAAGATAGGAACACTCGTCTTGACAATTATAGCCCGCATGCCGCTTCATGTTCGAGCTATATTACTTATAACTGCCGAATAGATGGCTATGCATCTATGTTGTGCTTGTGAGGGGTTCCATCATTAGAAAGTGCGGGCTTGGGTTAATTACATACCAAGAACTGTTGTTGGCGCTTTGCTTTTATTAACCGCCAACAAAAATTATATCACCACATATGTACAGTAATATGAGTGACATTCTTGTACGGGCGTTCTCCGCATGTTTGCTGCCTTGCACATGGCTGTGAATCATTCTTACGGAAAAAGATTTCTAGAAGTAGCTAAGCGATGAAGCAAAGAGCCCAGGGTTAGGAGGGAGGTTGTTAATGCTTGCAGCAATGCCTCCTCGCCTTTTTTTGACTTCTTTCCATAAATGCCTTTAGGATTGGAGCGCAGTGCGAGGACTGATTTTTTTTTGGAGGGGGGGAGGACGGAAGGGAAAGGGGGCACATTTTCTTCACGTCTCTGAAACAATGTCAATGCCAATTTTAGCTTACAATAATTTGTTGTGATACTCCGGTTTTAGTTGAACTCATACATCAGGCATATATTGATAAAATGACAATCCTAAGGTGTAGTCATGTAAAAGTAAAACTAGACTCCTCCCAAAGCCTTCAAAATAACAAAAAAAAACATTGAATGACTTCTGATAAAAAATTTCTTTGCTCCTTCGTCCGATACAGACTACTGCAGTCGTCATCTGCGCCATCCTCGCCACTGCATCAGCCGGTGGCATCGGCCTTGGCTACGTTCATGGCTACGGAGGCTACGGCCTTGGCTACGGTCATCGCTACGGAGGCTATGGTATTGGGTATGAAGGTTACGGTCTCGGCTATGGGCTTGGTGGTGGCCACGGGGCCACCGGCGTTGGCGTCGGCAGCAGTGTGGCAATTCTAAGTGGGGGGCCTGCCTTCACAAAGGCCGTAGCTGGACCGGCCTTCCTGGTGAAGACGGTGCATCACGTCAACAAGCTGCACAGTGGAGGCGCTCTGATCGCCCACTCCGGCCTCGGCAGTGGTTACGGTGGCTACGGAGGATACGGATACGGAGGTTACGGTTACAAGTGGTAACGCTGGTGAAACGATGTGAATCGTTGCGCTACATCCTGTGCGGCACGCGATAAACACTCATTCTCTGGAAAATCTAGGGGCCCCAATTCACTCCGAAGGGCACTTCGAACACAATCAGACTGGTGGCCTCAATTTACGCATGATGTATATATCAATAAATTGTTGATATGTGGGGTTTAACGTCCCAAAACCACCATATGATTATGAGAGACGCCAAATCAATAAATTGTTCTAAATCGAATCAACGCCAACAAAAGCAAATGACACACACGTGCGCCACAATGCAATCTTTCTACCTCTGCGTCTTGTTCCTTCATCATTCAATAAAACGATTCTGACATTACAATTTGGTTTTCCTTGCTCTAAACTACGCAACACGCAATTCAATAGCACTTTTGGCAAAGTATCGAAAGCAGGGAGAAGAGAGCGTAAGGAGTGGAAAGAATTATCATCTTAAATAATTACGGCAGTGAAGTTTTTTATTACCAACCGTACGCGAAACACAAAAACCGTCCATGTAGTCCAAGTCTCCTAGCGGTAAAAAAGCATTACTTGTGTAATGCTTTTTTGCAGTATTACAAAAAGCATTACAAAGTGCAGTATTACGAAAAGAGTGGCGAAAGTTCCAACATATGCTTTATCAGCAGAATTCTCCTAAAATACTGAACTTATGAAGTAAGTTAGCGGTCTAACCAAGAGCACTTCGCATTCTAAATCGTATCTCTGGTTCGTGCCAGCGCACTGACCTTTAAGGCATAGTGTAGTGCTCGGCGTATGCGACAAAGGGTGTTTGAAGCATAGAACAATAATTTATACCTGCATGACTGCATAGGAACTGTCTGTATTTTGATAGTTCTTCGTGAAACACACTCGTGGAAGTCTATTCATTCAGACTTCATTAAATATTAATAAAGTGTATGCATAGATTCAAGCGCGTGGTCAAAAAGTTTTCAATAAGCGTCATTTTTTTGCAATTCAGAAACTATTAATACTTTATTCAGGTAACGGCATCGAAATGGCCATGGTCGCTAAAGACTATTCGTAGTTGCACATTATGCGCTGCTTTTCATATTCATATTCCGAATCTTCACAATATGCGCTAACATTTATTATATTTCTTTATTCACAAAAGCAGTAAAGCGCCTTTAAGACATACCGTAAGTTACGGCACTTTGGTCCCCTTTTAGGCCGCATGAAAGGACCTGAAGCAAGCATCCGTGGCATTCACGCACTGCGTCATCTAAGGCCACTAGTTGGTGGAACGCCTTTTTTTGTAAGCAGTAGTACATAATTACAGATAAATTCAATAAAATTCAATCTGAACGCCGGTTGTTTCTTGATTGATTGATTGATTTGTGGGGTTTAGCGTCCCAAAACCACCAATTGATTATGAGAGATGCCGTAGTGGAGGCCTCCGGAAATTTTGACCACCTGGGGTTCTTTAACGTGCACCCAAATCTGAGTACACGGGCCTACAACATTTCCGCCTCCATCGGAAATGCAGCCGCCGAAGCCGGGAATCGAACCCGCGACCTGCGGGTCAGCAGGCCGAGTACCTTAGCCACTAGACCACCGCGGCGGGGCGCTGGTTGTTTCTTCACAATTCAAATTTACCTGGTAGCTGCGATTCATACAAGGACCTTTTCAAAGTTCACAGACTGTTTTCTCAGCTCACATTCATTAATCGAAAGAAATGCGCCACCATCAGTGGCAGCAACCTCTTAAAGTATGCTTGTGTTAATTACATCAACCTTCAAGGTTGGTATATGAACAAACGTAATTCTTTTGCATTCAAGCCCTTCTGCTTGTGTGTATAGCTGACTTCGTCATGATGGCTTTCAGACATCCGAACTACACCTAATGTGGTCAAATATCTTCGTGCTTGGATATCATTTTATCTGTGTTATCAGAATACTGTGAATAATAATAAGAAGATTACGTCCTTCATTCTCCAAGAAGATCAGTGGTCTGGAAAATAAAAAAAAAATGAATGCATATAAACGGAGTGGATGATGATGAGTGAGGTGAAGCGTTTGTCAGCCCGTCCGTGCTTCCGTCCGTTCACTCGTTCTTGCTTGCGTCCGTCCACTCGATCATCCGTGCGTCAATCCGTGCATCCATCTGTCTGTCCATGCGTCCGTCCGTGAGCCCGCCCATCTGTCTGTCCGTCCGTTCGTGTGTCCATACGTACGTACGTCCGCACGTCCATCCACCTGTTCGTTCGTCTGGTAGTTTGTCTGTTCATCCGCCCACGCGTTCGTCCATGCATCCACCTAGTGAACACTTCAAGTACCGCCATCTCTCATCTTGCAACCCCTGTGGCAAATACCCGCTCTAGAGTGGGTATGTGCCACCGGTGTCTACATACATACATACATACATACATACATACATACATACATACATACATACATACATACATACATACATACATACATACATACATACGTACATACGTACATACATACATACATACATACATACATACATACATACATACATACATACATACATATAGAGGAGCGACAGACCCACGCCATGAGCTTCGCCCATAAAACCTACAGGTCTGCACGGAAGGCGCGGCACTGTTGCAGCGACAGCTAGCAAACGGCCTTTCAAGGCCTTTTCTTAACCCTCTTTGGGTAGCTGCTGCAAGCACATTTGCAGGGTACCCACTACGCTATCAATCATTCTTAGTAGGCAAGCACTCAGTATGCCATTCTTCGTCATTCTGCGGAGAATCATGTGTTCCGCTGCACACTTCCAGGGAGCTCCTTGCAATTTTCGTGATGTGGCTGACGGCGAAGATTAATTATGTCAGAAGCTTTTGGAATCTCCACGATCCCGCAAGTGGATATGCACCACACTTAATAGGCGAACATGATCAAGCTTTTGTAATGCATTGGAGCATTCGACGACCCATTCGTTGCGCAATTCCCAATATATGACAATTGCTTGTTTCCTAGCTGTTCTAAAACACAAATTAACGTGATTGCTTTCCGGAGATCAAATGTCCCTAAGGCCTGTTTGCAAATGCTTTGATAGCACCGGCGTGGCTCAGTGGCTGAATACTAAAATGGCACGCAGGGGACCCATCTTTCATTCCCAATCGTTTGTGTTCTTTGTATAATTCTGAGTTTTCTTTCTTACTTCTTGCGACAGTGGTTGTGGACAGCGGTGGCGGACAACTATCGCGCGCACGTGACTCATGTTATCACTTCATAAGAGCTGTCACTGTAAAAGATCAGAAGCCACTTGAGTAGATAAGAAGCGTCCACATTGGTGAGTTTACAGCAGTGCGCATCAAGAGGGTAATTGAAGAGGCAGTGAGAAAACAGTAAAGGCGTTCAATACCTAGACTATCAGAAACGATGCAAGGCATGTTCACTTGATCTTATAAAGCAAAAAAAGGGGAGAAATGATTCGAAATTTAAAAAAAGCTTTTGCTGTAAGGTATAAGCTAGGGGAAATAAACTTCGCTTTACATATGCGTTGTTATGTTGATGTAAAATATGTATTTGTTTTATCTAGGCTGCACAGTGTTAGCTTTATGTCTTGACAATGTGTAAAGTATAGTTCGTTTTGGATGAACTTTTCATGCACTTAATTTTCAGGATTTTAGCCACCTAGGGCTCTCATGGCCCTACAATAACAGTAGAATGCAAATATCTATCAGGAAAGTGGGTATAATACATAATATTAAAACACACATTTTTATTGTGAAATGGTGTGAGGCTCATCAGCTTAATGCTGTTGTAAAGAACAGGAAGTACTCCGGCGCAGAGGCAGCAGCATCGAGAGTGCAGCACCGGCTCGAGCTCGTGAATCGCGGCTGGTGCATCGCCTTCCAAGCCTTCCAAGCATCAACCTTTCTGCTCAATAAATCTCCTTTATAATTGGTGGAGGTGCGGGGTACTGTGGCCTATACCTTCCCGCTACCATCCTGGAACTCCGTTCTCGACGGCTACCTTCTGCTATGCCGGACGCCGATCCGCAGACGCCTCCTTCTCCTCCGGCCACCTGTCCAGGCAGTGTTCCTCGGTGCGAACCTCCAATCTTCAGTGGAACAGATGACAACGACGTTGAAGATTGGCTGTCGACTTTCGAACGGGTGAGCGCTTTAAACAGATGGACGGACGCAGACAAGTTGACACGCATGTCGTTCTACCTCGCGGGTGTAGCCAGCCTTTGGCTTAGAAACCACGAGGCAGACGCCCGAACGTGGCCGCAATTTAAAGCGTTGATTGTAGCAGTCTTCGATCGACCTGCCGTCCGAAAACTTCGCGCCGAGCAGCGTTTACGCACACGCGCACAAGAAACGGGTGAAACCTTCACTAGTTACATAGAAGATGTCGTCGATTTGTGCAGACCTGTGAACGTTGCAATGACGGAAGCAGAAAAATGTAAGCACATCCTCAAAGGGATTGACGACGACGCTTTTCAAATGCTCTTGGCGAAAAGCCCGACCACTGATAATGACAAAATTAGCCTATGCCAAAGCTACGATGAATTGCGGAAGCAGCGAGCTATGACAAGACGTCCTCCAGCGCATGATTTGGCATCACTGTCTAGTGTGATCAATGGTCATGACCAAGCGTCACTACGAGCCGAAATAAAAGCATTTGTCCGCGAAGAAGTCGCACGACAGCTTTCCCTGGTGCCCTTCACACCAGAAGCTACGACAACTTTACCGTCGTCTCTTCGAGGCGTCATTCAAGGAGAGGTCGCCGAGGCCTTACCAGCTGCTCGCGAGCATAATCTTGTCGCTGCTCCTCTCACCTACGCTGCGGCTGCAGCCATGCCAACTCGCAAGGCACCTGCGCCTCCGTTCCAGCCTCGCGCAAGCTATCCGCCACCTCCAGTTCACCGGACCAGCACTAACACCGCCAACCCGTAGCACACCCTCGACAATCGCCCCATATGTTACACTTCTCGATACCCCGGACACGTCGCAAGGTATTGCCGCCGCCGGACGCATATCACCGATGAAAACCGCCGCG